GTTAGTTGTGTGAGCCAGTGACGGTAAAGTCTTCAGATAGAAAATTGTTTTTTATACAGTTTCTTAGGCATATCCTATTTTTGTATACATTAATGGACACTTGCACTTGGAAACACCGGTAAATATGTTTTACCTCACAATTAGGATAAATAGAAGGATGACATGATAATCTCCATATTAAAAAAGGAAAATGATTTGTTCACCAATTAATTGGGTTTGGAATATTCTAGGGATTGACATACTTGTTTGCATATAGGAATAAATATAGCATACTATTTAAATTGGAAATCACAGGATGAGTGCATCACCCAGTGGAAGATGTTGCTAAGTGCAAGTGATTGTGAGCCCTCCCTATGGTACTTGTCTTTACAGCTGGGATTCTATAAGATGCTCCCCAAAGACACTTAACTTTTCTCTTGGGAATTTAAGAGGAATAGACCTTCATATTTATTTCCAATTTTTATGAGGAGTCCATACTTTTTCCATTTGAAGATGAGGTGGAAACTTCCTCTTTCTTTAGCAATAAAATGGATGAGGATAGCTTGTGCAGCTTTCAAAAAATAGCCCCTCTTAGATCAGCATTTTCTGAAGTGTGGTATACATATTACTAGAAGTAGACAAACACACATAATTTGAATTTGCTTCTTCTTTTAATGCTTATTACAAAAGAGAATGTCTTGGTTGTGCCATATTTATTATTATATGAATGTTATTGCTGAAGTTAAGATGAGAGCAGGTGTCAGCACCCTATCCAGACCAAGTGATAAATTACTGATGCAGTGCTCAGGTATGCCTGAGAAAGTATTGCTACATTTTTTAAAAAAAAATATCTTTAGTTGTATATAACTTTATTTATTTTTATATGTGGTGCCTGACACATGCCAGGCAACCACTCTGCCACTGAGACACAACGCAGGCCCTGTTACTGCATTTTTATAGGGATACAGTAAAATCTTATTTTCATAAAATGGTAATAATTAAATATACAACATATTTACACACAATTGTGAATTGGAATCAAAACTGTGCTCTGTTTTTTCTTCCTATTTTATTGTTCAAGTCAACATGTTCAAGGTATATAATATACCTTTATATTTTAAAAATTCCATAGGTAAAAATGGATTTTTTTAAATATAAAGGTATATTCTGTGAGGGAAATGTTAATACAAGGGAATGATTGTGATGAAATCAATTATGTATCTTTAGATAGATATTGAGACCAAATTTAGTAATTGCTTGGATCATCTACTACTGTTATAGAGTGACCAGCTGTAAAGAAAACTATTATCCCACAAATATGATAAAAACATATTTGAAGTTTGTTTTTTTCATAAGTATATTGAGAATGAACCTATTACCTTGTATGCCATAAGTTTAGGGACATGCATTCTGGTGTGATTCTTTTTTAACCACAAGTGTTATTTTGAAACAAACACACAAAAAATGCTGCACACAAATATTAAAAAGGTTCCTCAAAAATTTCAACATAGAATTAATCATATAATCTGGATATTCCACTCCTAGATACATACCAAAAGAGTTGAAAATTGATAACGAAACAAATCTACACCTATGTAGAACTGTGTACAGGGTAGCACTATTCACAATAGCCAAAGGGTAGACAGGGGAGAATGGTGACCAATTGCTTAATGAGTGTCAGTTTCCTGTTGGGGTGATGAAAATTTTTTGTAACAAGATAGAAGGCATGGGCAGGTTGGGCTGCTGCAGCTGCAGCTGTGGGAGTCGGGGCGCTGCGTGTGAAAGGTCCCAGATGCGTCTGTGGTTCCAGCCCGGCCACCCTCAGCCTCCCTCTCCCACCCTAGTCTCCCTGCTGGGTGCTGAGGGGAAGAGAAGGCGCTAGCCTTGGGAGCCCCTTGCACACTCCTGGCAGCCTCAGACACTGCCCTCTTTCCCTTCGCTGAGGCTGGCCTCACTGGGTGCTAGGCTACTCTGCGGAAAGTCGGCGTCAGCGGCAATGGCTGTGTGCTGTGGAGAGTCCTGCTGCCCTCCAGCCTTGCTCCTTTGCCCGGCCCTGCAGGGGCCCGCCCTTCTGCTTGCCTTCTTCATCAGCTGGTTGGAGCAGCGTGGGTCCGGGAGGTCTCTGGGCTGAGGAGGTGGTAGCTCCTCTGGCTCCATCTTGTCTGTGGGTGGAGACTTTGAGAATCTGCTGAGGAAATTCAAGCTGGTGTTCCTAGGAGAGCAGAGCATTGGAAAAACATCCCTGATCACCAGATTCATGAATGACAGTTTTGACAACACTTATCAGGCAACAATTGGCACTGACTTTTTATCAAAAATCATGTACTTGGAGGATCCAACAGTATGATTGCAGTTATGGGACACAGCAGGTCAAGAGCTGTTCAGGAGCTTGATTCCTAGCTACAAGCCAAAGAGCTGAATGTTATGTTCATTGAAACCAGAACAAAAGCAGGATACAATGTAAAGCAGCTCTTCTGACGTGTCCAGCGGCTTTGCCTGGGATGGAAAGCACACAGGACAGAAGCAGAGAAGATATGATTGATATTAAACTGGAAAAGCCTCAGGAGCAACCAGTCAGTGAAGGAAGCTGTTCCTGCTAATCCCTCATGGCATCTTCAACCCTTCTCCAGAAGCTCACTGCTTTGGCTTCTTTACTGTCATTGATAGCAGTGTGAATATTGGCTTGAACCTTTTCCCTTTAGTAATAACGTATTGCAATTCATCATTGCTGCCTATATCGTGGACATGATCTATTAGCTGCACATGCACAAAAAAGTCAGTGTTTTCATTATTTATATTTTACAAAGAACCAAAAGATTCCAGCATATTCCAGTGATAACCTTAAATATCAGATACATTTTCTTAACATTTTTCTTTTTTTAATGTTATGATAATGTACTTTAAAATGATGGAAATCTCAACAATATGAGCATGGCTTGGTTAAGGAGCAATATGTTCTCAGCAGCATTTACCTACCTACTTGATCTTTCCCTGCTTTTCTCACCTCTCTCTTATCTGCATTCTCTATTCTCATCCTCCCACAAAACAAACAGGAGGTGGCAATGCAGGCAGCCCATTGGAATTATCCTTCAGTTTTATAGATAGCCACTTGCTTTAGGCCAAGATGTCCAAAATTATTCTTGAGCACTGATATAAATTACTTAGACCTTCTTTGAGGTCAAAACATGGTGGACAATGCTTAAATGAGGAAAGGGTTCTGGTATATCCTCAAAATTAATCCTAATGAACATACTGAGTACTTATAAGTAGATGAGCATAAAATTTATTTCTGACCAAGACAAATGACTTTTTCACATGTACTTTATTAGACTCTGGGAGAAAAAAAAATAACCTAGTGCTTCAGAACAGGTTTTTAATGTTTAATTATTCATCATAAAATCAGTTCCAATTAACTCTTTCTCCCAAGTTTTTAAAATTGTTGATATAGCTATTGTTTGTTTTAAAACAAAAAACTACACCACCACCCTTTTAAGCAACAGATTTTGCTTATATTTTCTTTCTTTTAAAAAATGCTATGCAGGCAAGGCATTGTGAAAATCAAATTCCTTTAAGAAACAGTGGAAGTATTTAAATTTGATGACTTGATCAAAACTATGACAAATAGAGATAATGATATCTAAAGCTTACCCACAAAACCCTCACAGAATAGCAAATACCCTACTCTGAACATTTTAAGTCAAAATTAAAATGGAAATAATTTTTTGTAAGCTCCTAGAGGTAGATAAGAACATTGAAAAGGGAAAGGAGAGAATGGAAATAAAAGTCAATATTATGCAGATTTATGCTTTATTTTTTAGCATTTTTTTTAAAATGTTGGGTCTTTCAAGCTGGTTTTGCTTTTTATTAGAT